CTGCATCGCGAGTTTCAGGCCAGCTAGGGCGACAGGGAGAACCTGTCTCAAAAAAACAAAACAAAACAAAAAAAAAAAAGCAGATAGTTACCAAGAAAAAGTTCAGAATAGAGACATCACTTTATATAAATTCACAAAGAAATTTTCTGAAATATATTTAAATATGGTATAATTTAGTGTCCTACTTGAATTATCTATTTCTAGGTTTGGGGTTTTTTTAATATTTTATTATTTTTATTTTATGTGTATGAATGTATTGCCTGAATGTGTGTGTGTACCCATGTTGTGCAATGCTTGAGGAGGTCAGAAGAGGGTGTCAGATCCCCTGGAACTGGACTTATGGATGGTTGTTAGCCATCATGTGGGTGTTGGGAATTGAACCCAGGTCCTCTGTAATCCAGTCCAGTTTTTGTTGATTTTGAGACAGGGTCTCAGTCTAGAGAGATGGCTCAGTGGTTATAAGTACTGGTTCCCAGGGGAATCCAACAATCTCCTTTGATGTCCAAGGGCATTGCACAACACAGGTGCACTTATATACGTGCAGGCAATACACCCATATACACAAAATTAAAAATAAAATATTTTTGCCAGGCATGGTGGCACACACCTTTAATCCCAGCACTTGGGAGGCAGAGGCAGGTGGATCTTTGTGAGTTCGAGGCCAGCCTGGTCTACATAGTGAGTTCCAGGACATTTAGGGCTACAGGGAGACCCTGTCTCAAAAAAAAAGCCAAAAAAAATAAATTAAAAAAAAAATTTTTTTAAACCTACTTACAGCCGGGTGTGGTGGTGCACGCCTTTAATCCCAGCACTTGGGAGGCAGAGGCAGGTGGATCTTGGATTTATTTTGATATATCACAGTGAAAGATTTATCGTCCTCTTTTTTTTTTTAAAAAAAAAAAAAAAAAAAAAAAAAAAAAAAAAAAAAAAAAAACCAAACTACTTACTAAACCAGGCATGGTGGAGCATGCCTTTAATCCCAGCACTCAGGAGGCAGAGGCAGGCGGGAAAAAAAAAAAAAAAATCTACTTACTGAGACAGGGTTTCATGTAGCCTAGGCTGGTCTCACGATATAGTTGAGGATGGCTTTGAACTCCTGAATTACAAGTACATACCACCACATGCTAGAGATTGAAGCCAGGGCTTCGTGCATGCTAAGCAAGCACTCTACCAACTGAGCTGCAGTCCCAGTCCCTATTTCTAGTTACTTTCTGTCATTTAAAATGTTTATTGGGATGGCGAGATGGCTCAGCTGTTCAGACCCCTGACTGCTCTTGTAGAAGACCAGGGTTCAGCTCCCAGGACCCACTCCAATTCTAACTTCTGACCTCTGTGAGTACCAGGCACACAGGCAAAACACTCATACACGTAAAAATAAATAAGGGGCTGGAGAGATGGCTCAGCAAGTAAGAGCACTGGCTGTTCTTACAGAGGACCCAAGTTTGGTTCCCAGCAACCACCACTGGAGGCTAACAACTGTCCATAACTCCAGTACCAGAGGAATCCAATGCCCTCTTCTGACTTCCGTGGGCATTGCATGACATGGGTGCACTCACACACATGCAGGCAATACACTCATACACATAAAATAAAAATAAAATACCCAGCACTTGGGAGGCAGAGGCAGGTGGATCTCTGCGAGCTCCAGGCCAGCCTGGTCTACATAGGGCCTACAGGGAGACCCTGTCTCAAAAAAACAATAATAATAATAATTTTTTTTTGGCCTTTTTGAGACAGGGTCTCCCTGTAGCCCCAGCTGTCCTGGAACTCACTATGTAGACCAGGCTGGCCTTGAACTCACAGAGATCAGCCTGCCTCTGCCTTCCAAGTGCTGGGACCACAGGCATGCACCACCACACCCAGCAATAATAATAGTTTTTAAGGAAGAATAAATGTTTATTGAGCACACTCCTGTCACTGTCTCCACCTCATCTATGAAATTTCTCCATTTGGAATATGGACTCCACATATACCCTGCAGAGGGAGACTGCATCATTATTACTTGGTTTTTTTTCCCTGCCTTGCCCCCACAACCAAACATTTTCTTTTTTTTGTTTGGTTTTGGTCTTTTTGAGAGAGGGTCTCCCTGTAGCCCCAGCTGGCCTGGAACTTGCTATGCAGACCAGACTGGCCTGGAACTCAGAGAGATCTATCTGCCTGCCTCTGCCTCCCAAGTGCTGGAATTACAGTCGTGCGCCACCATGCCCAGCCCTCTAATTAGGTTTTATTCTTCTAAGATGTCTAGCAAATGAAACTTTTCCTCAGCAGCCAACTGCCCAGTTCCTCCCATACCATTAGCACCACTCTAGCCTGAATGCTGCCAGATATAATTATGCTCTTGTTACCCCCAACATCTTATTCAAATGTTAATACTACATCCATCACTGGCATTTTTCCAATAGCTTTACCAAGCTGTAATCCACACACTACCCAGGTCCAGTGCTTCTGAGGATTGCCAGAGATGCCCCACTGCAGTCTCCTTCACTGAGCAAACCCTGGATGGTGTCACTGACATTCATTTATTCACCACCTATTGAGCACAGACTGTGTTCCGGGATATAACAGTGTCCAAGATTATCTTGCCTAGGTGTCTGGTTGGGATGGTGAAGTGGGTACCAGGGGTTGCTGTGTCCTCAGAGCTGTCTGGGGTGAGGCTAGAGTGCTGGGTCAGTACTTATCAAGTGAGCGGTGCAGTGAATGCATGTCGAAAAGCAATCCCCACCTAGGAGGCAAGCAGCTTCAAGCTTGCCTGTTAGGACTTGTTTCCCTGGGAAGCTGAGGTCTCCATCATTCAGCTCAAATGAGGGGCCGGAGGGGGTGACCTGGGACTGCTCCCCCCTCCTGAAGAAGAGAACTGAAGGCCCAGCTGTGATGGGGGACGGGGGACTCCCAGGTCTGATAAACAAGCAATGGGAACCCTGGCATGGACAGCCTGGGATCAAGTGCAAAGGACCAGGTGACTGGGCCTCTCTGCCTCCTTGGAAAATGCTAAACTGCTCGACCCTCACACAAAATCACCCTCTGGGATTTGGAGGAGACAAAGCCTCGTGTCTGGGGTAGAGGCACCAAGGGACTTTCCTAAGGAGTTTCACATTACAGCCAGGTATGATGGTGTATACCTGTAAGTTCCAGGCCAGTCTACACAGTGAAACACTGTCTCAAAATACACACACACACACACACACACACACACACAAAACCACCTAATTCACCATAGTAGAAGCCTCTGAGGGCTCATGGTCCAGCCTCCCCTCCCCGTGAGCAGCCTGAAGGAGACCCTCCTGAACAAGGGCTGCTGGTGCAGGTTATCCCATTTCTGTGGCTGAGCCTGGGCTGGAACCAAAATGTCCAGACCCGAGGCCTGAGGAAGACCCTGAGGTGCCATATTTCCCTCCAGGCCACATCCAGATGAGTATCTATCCCATCACCCCTTGACCTGCAGAAAGGAGCAAGAGGCATGGGCCAGAGAAGATAGGGAAGTCGGCCGGAGTTTTTGAGCACACGGTAGGACAGGACCCCATCAGCATAGCAGGATCCAGTGAGTCAAACTGGCCCGCCCCCTGAGGAGGAAGAGCCTGGGGAGGTTCTGGATGACTGAACCTCCTGGGATGGAGAAGCTAAGTCAACTGCCATATGCCAAGACACAAACCCACATGTGCATCTCCTTTAAACGGCACGACTGTACACCGAGGCCAGCAGCATTTTTGGTGCCGTGGGAGAAGGAAACAGGCTCGGGGTGTTGGCTCAAGTCATAGGGCTTACCAGCAGCCGAGGCACACCTGGGACCTCAAAGTCTTTGAGCCACTCATCAGGGATCTGGGGACAAGCCCCAGGGAATATAACCAGGCCACCAGGTTCTGCCAGCCCCACTACTTTGTCCTTTACTTGGAAGTGGATTGAGCCTCTGAGGTACAGGGGGAATCTGTTTGCATAAGCTGTAGTCTAGACCCTTCCAGAGTAGGGACTGTACCTCTTCCACCAGACAGGTCACCCAAGGGAGGTCACATCTCTCCCACGAAAGGAAAGGATATCACTCCCACTAGAGGAAAGAACACGGGAGTCCCCAGGCAAGGCTGTCATTTCATTTTCTCCTCTCCAAGCGGCTGAAGTTCAGGCTTGCCCTTGGTTGGGGGGGGTCACGAAGCCCCTGACTTCCAGGCTGGGAAGGGTGCCATCTGGTCCTAGGAAACTAGCCACGAGCCAAGTCCCAGCATGGACTAGAACGAGACATGCAGCTGCAAAAAGCACCTGAAGGAAACAGCAGCCAGCAGCATGCTTGGGAGGTGGAGCGGGGTGAGCACTGCATGCATTCCTGGGCCCCAGCCAAGGCCCTCTCTCTGCGGCTAGGGGCAGCGACTCTAAAAGCACTCTGAGATGTAACTGCCCTCTGCCTGTCAGGTGAGCCCCCAGGTCTCCCATCTCGCTTTCTGGACCTACAGAGAGGTGTGTGGATACGCTAGGGCAAGTAAGGAGGGCAGCTGGTCCTCTGGGTGGTGACCCATGGGAAAGTGGAACAAAGTGAGCTGAGACCAGGCCTTCTCCCTGCTTCCAGGCCTCATCACTCCTGTGTCCCCTCCACCGGCTATCCTTATCCCCCACTTGTGCTTCTGGCCTGTCCCCTTTTCCAGGAAGGCACCTCTCCTGAAAGTTGAAGGTGACCTTTACTAAGCTTCAGTTTGGGGTTAACCACCCCACCCTATGCAATCCTGGCAAGGATACAGGAAGTTCATAGCTTGCTCACACCAAGCCCTGGGAAGCTGAGATGCCAAATCCAAACCTGCCTGTCATTCTCTGCCTCTTCCTGAGCCCCAGAACAGGGAGCCCACTAGTGTCACTTACTGCTGGTCCCATGTCCCCAAGAAAGCATAGAGTTAGGAAACCAGGGGTCTAGGGAGGCTGGGCCAGGTCTGTAGGCTGGGCTTGCCCAGGGTTTCTGCCCACTACTGCTACCCAGAGCAGTGCAAACCCTAAGCACCATGGGAAAGAGCCACAGAAACAGACCCAGCTGGAAGGTCCTGTTTACTAGGTTGCGTCCAGTCAGACAGAGGGGCAGCCCTGCATCCCCAGGCTGTGATGCAGCCCTGGGGTGCACAGGCAGAATGAGGTAGGTAGACAGAAAGTGGTCACACCATCTTCTGGGGTCTCAGCTACAAGTCCCCTCCAGGCTCCTTGGGCAGGTGCCTTAAACCTGGGAGGTATGTCACAGGCCAGCTCCAGAGCTGTCTGAAGGATGTGCACGCGTGGAAGGGAGGGAGGCAGCAGGTCCAGAGCTCCAGGCCTCCCTCAGGCTGCCTTCAAGGCCCAGTCCAGGGATGGCAACATCACTGCCCACATCTCTCCCTTTCTGGGACAGCAGCAGAGGTCCCCGTCATCCAGAGCTCAGGTGGTGCCGGTCAGCTTGGGAGGAGGGGCTCGCGCTCTGAGGTGGTAGCAGCAGCAGCACGGTTCCTGTACACCAGGAACTGGATGGAGATCTGAGGGGCAGAGTTAAGGCCACACAGAGCACACTGGGCTAGAGCTGTACCTTGCTCCTCCTGTCCTCCTCATCAGCCTTGCTCTTCCTATCTCACCATCCTGAGTACCATTTCTGATCCCCCCGGCCAAGCCACACTCCATTCACCTGCTAGTCTGGGCTGCCAGTCTTGGACAGCCTCTCAGAACTCTGGCATCGGCTCCTTACAGTACTAAGAGGCTGGGCCCCTTTGGGCCACAAGACTTTCTCTCACTGCACTGTACAGGGACTCAGCAAATGTTGAAACAAAGGTCATGTTTACGTTCTTTCAAATGAGACCCAAACGAGACTTAACCAACATTTACTGTGCATTCCACGGGTGCTCACGTGGGAGAGCTTCAGATACTATGCCTCCAGCTAATACCCTGTAAGACAGCAACTGGAACACAGATGAAAAGGTGGGGCACAGAGGCACCAAGTGACAGGGGCACCAAGCGATGGATGCTCTGCCCTGTGCCTCTCAGTCAGGAAGCAATGGAGGAGGCAGGATTTGAGCCCAGGGTTTTCTAACTCACACTTGTCTTCATGATCTAGCTCTCATCCCCAGCACCTAGATGGATGGATGGGTGGGTGGGTGGAAGGATGGATGGATGAGTGGGTGGGTGAATAGGTGGATGGGTGAGTGGATTGGTGGATGGATGGGTGGGTGGATGGGTAGATGGGTGGATGGGTGGGTGGATGGGTAGATGGGTGGGTGGATGGGTAGATGGGTGGATGGGTGGGTGGATGGGTGGGTGGGTGGATGGATGGATGGATGGGCGGATGGGTGGGTGGATGGCTGGGTGGGTGGATAGATGGATGGATGGATGGATGGATGGATGGATGGGTAGGTGGGTGGATGGATGGATGGATGGATAGGCGGATGGGTGGGTGGATGGCTGGGTGGGTGGATAGATGGATGGATGGATGGATGGATGGATGGATGGATAGGTGGATGGGTAGATGGATGGGTGGGTGGATGGATGGATGGGTGAGTGGATGGGTGGATGGATGGATGGATGAATGAGTGGATGGGTGGGTGGGTGGCCCAAATTTCCTTCCAGACTGGGTGAGTGAGGATGGATGGATGAATTAATGGATGGATGGATGGATGGATGGATGGATGGATGGATGGGTAGATAGATGGGTAGGTGGATGAATGGATGGGTTGGTAGATGAATAAGTTGGAAGATAGATGTATGTATGTATGTATGTATGGATGGATGGCGGATGGGTGAGTGGATGGGTGTGGATGGATGGATGGATGGATAGGTGGATGGGTAGGTGGATGGGTGGGTGGATGGATGGATGGATAGGTGAATGGATGGTTGAGTGGGTGGATGGATGGATGGATGGATGGATGGATGGACGGATGGGTGAGTGGATGGGTGGGTGGGTGGATGGATGGATGGATAGGTGGATGGGTAGGTGGATGGGTGGGTGGATAGATGGATGGATAGGTGAATGGATGGTTGAGTGGGTGGATGGATGGATGGATGGATAGGTGGATGAGTGGATGGATGGGTGGATGGGCTTTTCTAGTCCTCAGAGCCTGTGCACAAGCTGTGCCTGGAACTCTCCTCCCTCACTTTTGCCTGACTTCTCCATCAGCCCAGCTGAGACGACACTTGCAGAGGTCTCTATTTATCCCAAAACTGAGACAATTCTGTGGTGATACACTCTTGCTATCTTTCTCTGTAGCACCACTAATGTGAAGTAACTATTTACTCATTCAGTGCATTCTGTATGACACCTCCACTCCACCAGGCTCTAAAATTCCCAGACAAGGGAAATTCTGTTCTTGCTCATTGGTGGGACTGGTCCTGGCTGGGTACCTGGCACACAGATGTATTTTGGATGGGTAGGTGAATGGGTGAATGGATGGATGGATGGATGGATGGATGGATGGGAGGTTGGATGGGTGAATGAATGGATGGATGGAAGGTTAGATGGGTGGATGAAGAAATGATGGATGAATGGATGAACAGATATATGGATGGGTAGATGGATTGGAGGTTGGATGGGTGAATGAATGGATAGATGGAAGGTTAGATGGGTAGATGAAGAGATGAATGGATGGATGGATGGGTGGATGGATGAGTGGAGGGATGAAAGGGAGATTAGATGGCTTGGATAAAGGGGTAGACAGAGAGATGGAGGAGTGGATAGAGGAATGGATGTATAGACAGAGGATGGATGAGAGGTTAGATGGGTTGATGGATGGATGGATGGATAGATGGAAGGATGGCTAGAGGGGTGGATGGATGAACAGATGGATGGATGGATGGATGGATGGATGGATGGGCAGGTAAAAGTAGAGGCTGCCCTGCCCTGCCCACTCTATGTTGCCAGAATTGTACACCTTGAAGGATATGATGGTGTCCAGCAGCAGTACACCCAGGCTGCCCACGAGCCAGGGCAGGTGGTGCAGCAGGTAGCTGCCCTCACTCTGGCCCACCTCAGGGTTCTTGAGCAGCACGCTCAACCCGTATAACGTGTTCCCCAGCATTACCAATGCAAACAGTGAGTAGGAGATGCCCTGGGTTGACTGTCGTAGGAACTGAGGATGAAGGGGGTAGAATCAGAGACCTCGAAGAAGACTTTCATCTGTAATCCCAGCACTTGGGGGACTGAGACAAGATGATCATGAGTTCAAAGCCAACCTGGGCTACATAGTGAGTTTCAGGCCAGTCTAGACTATAGTGAGCCCCTGTATCTAAAAAATAAAAGGGCTCTTATCACGCTGGATTGTAACTGCCTGTGTGTCTGGCTGTCCTATGCTGTCCCTACTCTGAGCTTGTTTTTCACTGTGTGCTCAGCACTCAGCATGGGCCTGACACCAAACAGCCCTATCCAGGGCCCAACTCCAAAGCCCAACTCCAAGCACTTCTGGAACCCCAGAAAACATAGCTCCCTGTGTCTGCTGGCCCCCACATGCCTGGCTCTCCGGCCCTCCAAGACGCTTGCTGTTCAGTGAGGCTCTCATCACTGGTCCCCACGTTCTCCTCTCCACTCTGGCCTCTAAGCTCTGCAGTTCCCTTGCACCTGGCCCTTGAGACACAAGCAGTCTCATGCACCCCTTGATGGCAGGCGTCACCAGGCCCATTTTCCAGAGGCTCAGGGAGCTGAGTGAATTCGCCTGAGTCGATAGCTAGGATGGTCCCAGGCCTTCTGAACAAAACACTCCTACACCAAACCACTGTTTAACCCACCAGCCTCTCTTCCCTGGGGCCCCCACCCAAGGCTCACATTAGTGCGGATCTGAGGCAGCCTCGAGAACAGGTACAACACACTGGAGACAGAGCCAATGACGAAGCCGATGACTTCCTTCTTTGTGAAGGGCTGGGAGGGCAGAAGGGATGCTCAGTGCCTGGTGGGAGCTGCACAGCGCAGTCCCTCCAAGAGGGTGATCCCCTGACTTAACACTTACATAACCATGCAGGGGAGAGCCTCAAGGGTGAGCCAGCCCACTCCCGCCACCCCTACTGACCCACACCTCACCTTACTGCTCGGCTCCACAGACAGTAGCGTCCGTCCCCAGAACCCCTCTCTTGGGGCAGCCTGAGGCTCAGTGCTGGTTGCCAGCAGTGGTGTGATGCACACTGTCCCCAAGATGAACAAGAGTAAAGAGTTGATAGGGGTAGATGCTGGATTGAGGCAGAAGGAAAAAGGCCATAGTTAGGGTCTGAGTGACAGCAGACAGCCTGGGACCAAAGAGTCCCAGCCTTGCTTCTCAGTAGCTGTGTGACCTTAGACAAGTGACCTAATCTCTCTGAGCTTTAGTCCTTCTCTGTAGAATCCATTACAACAGGACCCTTCCCCTAGGGCAAAACAATGAGGGCAGGGGGGTCAGCACTCTGAGCCAGAGAAGAGATGCTGAAGATGTGTGTAAGGTAAAGAAATGACTGGGGCTGTGGCCTGAGCCATGCATGTTTCCATCTCAGCCCATTAAAGCTCAGGCTTTTTAGACAAAGCCTTTTTAGGATTTGGCTCATTGCCCAGTACTGGGAACCCTGCTTTATTCCAGGTCCCAGACCTTCCGATCCAGCAGAACCTGACTCAGAGGGACCCCAGACTCACACAATGAGGGCCGATTCTTGAACTTGTAATGGAAGTACAGTGTCAGCATCATCAGGTCAGCCAGCACATAATACACAGCTGTGTAGGTCTTCGAGAGAAAAGAGGCAGGCTTGGGTGCTGGCCGCAGTCCCAGACCCTGATGAGACCTCCCCAGCAGCCCTCCCATGTACCCCAGCTGGTGACCAGCCCTGGTCACTTCAGCTCTCTGAGCCTCTATTTCCTCATCTGGACGGAGAGCTCTCGTTTCTACCTAGATCAGGGAGACAAAGTGCTGGCAAGCATCTGGCTTGGACAGGTGCCAAGGCATTGGTGGCCAGTATGACCAGCCAAGTCAAAAGAGCTGAGGCCTTCCTGACTAACCCCAGCTCTGCCTGACCACAGGAGAATGATGATGTCTGGGGTTCCCAAGGAAAGACCCATTTCCTCCTTCAAGACCCAGCACTCAGAACACTTAGCTGGGGTCACAGCCCCTAAGAAACTGCAGACCCCTGTGGTGTGATATGCTCACATGGGCAGGTAGGGAAACTGAGGCTCTGACAGAGGCCATGACATGCCCATGGTCACACGGCATGGTAGACACAGAGCACAGGCTGACAGATTCTAGGCCTCCTGCCAGCTGTTCCCACTGCCTCTTACCACAGCTGCTCTGGGCTGCCCCACCTACATGGGACCTACTCACCTGCAGGGGCAGCTGATCTGCAAGGAAGGAGCCAATGAGGTTGCAGGAATCTCCGCCGATCCAGCCGAGGAGGAACCACAGTGACAGAGCCTGGTCCATATTGCCTGTCTTGCAAGCCTTGATGTACTGACTGTGGAAGAGGAGGAGATGCATGCTAAGAGGCTGAGGCTAGGGAGGATGCCTTAGAAAGCCAATGAGGAGAACTTCCTGAGATTAGACAACCACAGAACAGTATGACAGGAGCAGTAATGCCCCATCCTTCCTGCAGGCAGCATCCTCAGGAACGCTTCTTTGTTCTGTGGAGAATTTTTATCAGGGCAAACACCTGCTAGCCCAGGAGTACTATGACTGTACATCTTTCCAGAGAGATCCACAGCCTGACTGAGATTCTTCTCCATAGAAACCTGAGGTCTTCAGAAGGGGCGTGGGGTCTACGCAGTTTTTCTGAAGTATGTGCCAGGCCCTGAGAACCACCTTGTTGGTTTCTTGGCTTTCCTATTTTGTTACTTATTATTTGTTTATTTATTTATTTATTTTGGTCTTTTTGAGACAGGGTCTCCCTGTAGCTCCATCTGGCCTGGAACTCACTATATAGACCAGGCTGGTCTTGAACTCACAGAGATCTGCCTGCCCCTGCCTCCCAGGTGCTGGGATTAAAGGCGTGTGCCACCATGCCCAGCAGAAGGCCACTCTTCTAGCACAAAGTAACTGATGTGGAGCCTTGAGACTCCACCTGCAGGGCAAGTCTCTTGCTCCTGCCTCTACTTTCCTTCCAAGAGCTAAAACAACATGTCTTTTTTCTTTTTGTCTTTTTGAAACAGGGTCTCCCTGTAGCCCCAGCTGGCCTAGAACTCACTGTGTAGACCAACCTGGTCTTGAACTCACAGAGATCCACCTGCCTCTGCCAGTGCTGGGATTAAAGGCGTGTGCCACCATGCCGAGCAACTGTCTCTATTTCTATTACCAAAGGTGGGGAGGGGAAAGAGGACAGATCTTTGTCCGAAGTAGAACTACAGATCTGCAGATGGTCGCAAGCACATGAAAAGCTGCTCAGCTTCGTGAGCCATTAGGGAAATGAAAATCAAAACCATGACATACTTCCTCATACCTAGGAGGAGGGCAACAACAGAAAAGACAATCAAGCCAGAGGCGGTGGCACAGGCCCACAGTCCCAGCACTTGGAATATGGAGGCGCAAGAAGAGAAGTTCAAGGCCAGCCTGGGCTACATGAGAACCTGTCTTCTAAAAAAAAAGGTGGGGGGGCACCCAGGCAAGGTGGCACACACCTTCAACCCTAGCACATAGGAGGTGGCAGGGGAAGGCAGATCTCTGTGAGTTCTAAGCCAGCCTGGGCTACACAGTGAGTTCCAAGCCACTCAAGGGTGTATAGTGAGACCCTGTCTCAAAATAATTAATAATAATAATAATAAGGCAAACTCTTGATCAAACCTTCATCGTCATCTCTCAGAATAAAGAGAACACATCTTTTTACCACGCTAGAGACTGAGTCCAGGGTTCTAGCACTAAGCTAGCTTGCTTTCTTCTCTCTCTTGCTCTCTCTCTCTCTCTCTCTCTCTCTCTCTCTCTTTCTTTCTCTTTGAAACAGGATCTTCCTATGCAGACCAGGTTGACCTTGAACTCATGATCCTCCTGCCTCAGCCTCCCACGTGCTAGGAAGAACATATTGTGTGTGTTTGTGTATTTGTGTTTTATGGTATATATGTGGTATGTGTGCATGCATGCTTTAATGTGTGTGTGTGTGTGTGTGTGTGTGTGTGTGTGTGTGTGAATGTGGGCACGCAAGTACCATGATGTACATGTGGAAGTCAGAGGACAACCTGGAGAATTGATCTTCCCCTTACACCTTGGTTCATGGCTACATATGCCAGGCTAGCTGGCCCACAGCTTCCAAGAAGTCTCCTGTCTCTGCCTCCCATTTCACTGGGAACACTGTGATTACAGACATGGGATACTTCATTCAGCTTTATGTGAATTCTGGGGATTCGAACTCAGGTCCTCACACTGTGCAGCAAGCACTATACCCACTGAGCCATCTCCCCAGTCCAAGATTATTTTTTTTTATTTTTTTGAGACAGGGTCTCCCCTTAGCCCCACCTGGCCTGGAACTCACTAAGTAGAGACCCACCTGCCTCTGACTTCAGAGTGCTGGGATTCAAGGTGTGCGCCACCATACCCAGCTCAAGATTAATTTTTTTTTTTTTTTAGCAGCAATAACAGCCTTAGATGACAGAGCCCTTGGTTTCCTGGATTCACCTCTGCCTGCCTGACCCTCCCATGTGGCTCAGGCAGGCAACCCAGTAGTTATTTCCTTCTGTCGTGTGTCTGCTGCTTCCTGGCCAGCTGCTTCCTGCCTACCCTACAGGTGTGGGTGTACAGCCAACACCCCTCATTCATGCTTCACGTAATGGGACCCTGGCATGGCACCACACCAGCTTTCCAGCTTGTGCACACATTGGGTAAACTCTCTGAGCCTGGGACCAGTATTTACAGATGAGGATCTGAGGCCCATAGCAAGAATATGGCCTGCCCAGGTCACAGCCAGTAGACGGCAGAGTTGCGTGTGGATGCTTTGGACCCCGTGCAGTGATGTCATTGTGCCTTAGCCCAGCAGCTCATTTTGTATCCATCGTCTCACCAGCCTGTCCTCGCTTTAAGGACACCGTCATATCTGACATACCCTACCATGCGCCATTCTCCATCCCTCTCTCACCAGCTGTGCAATAAAGAGCATGCTAGTGGGGCTGGAGAGACGGCTCAGCAGTTAAGGGCACTGTCTGCTCTTGCACAGGACCTGGGTTTGATTCCCAGCACCCACATAACGACTAACAACCATTCTAATTCTGGTTCCAGGGTATCTGACTCCCTCTTCTAACCTCCACAGAAGGCACTGCACAACACGGGTATACTTACATACATGCAGGCAATACACTCATACACAAAAAATAAAATTATATATATCTCCTTGGATTTCTAGAAAGGCTGAACCTGTGTTCTATGACTGACAGTCACACCAAGCTCATCTATGAGTGATGAATACACTCCTTGAAATCACAGAATCTCCCAAGTTTAGGGATGCTCAGATTCTGAGCAGTTGAGTCCTTGCATCCAGTCATCAGACACGAGCATGCTATTTAAACCTTATCTTGTCTATAAAAGAAGGAAAGAAACTGTACCCATTTCACAGGGCTGTTGTGAGGATCAAATGAGATTAAACCCCACCAGCACTCAGACACGTAGAAGCGAGCCAAGTATACAGTGGGTGCTCAATAAATGGTAGCAAA